GTCCCTTAYGATCTTTTAAGTAGATTTCAGAGACAGGAGTTTGAGATGTTTTAATGTATTATACAATAAAAAATTCTATTTTGCAAAATGAATAATAACCCTTAGTTTTTCTGTAATTTCGTTATACAATCATTAAAATTAAAACCACTTTATCCATGGAATTTCCTTTTTTTTTTTTTTGCATTCAATTAGAAGTGGGCAAAAATCTGCAATAAGACATTTGAAGAGATGTCCCTCATACCAGGTCATTGATTTATTCAAGTTATTGTTACTTTTATTTACATCCTACGGTGTATTGAAAGCATGGCGACTTGGTTATACTATTCTTATGAATATTCTCTCCGAGGAGTAGTTTAATGTTATGAATGTGCTGTTGTCCTGCAGTCTTCCCAAATGTTTAATATTACAAAAACCAATGAGGCAGTATGGAAATATTAGATACTATACTTTCTAGACCAAGAGGTAAAAATGTCACCAGATGAAGAAGAAGATAATTTTGTGTATCAATTTTCTGTATTTCCTACAGCATTCCTTCCTTTTTTATATTGAGGATTCTTATTCACATATTCCAGTGAGATATATGTATGTGAGATATATATATATATATAATTATGAGTATATCTATACCTGCATATACATAAACTATGTACACACACACACACACACACACATATATATATATATATTTTTTTTTAAGAGAGAATTTTTTTTTTTTTTTTTGTAGACGGACCCAACACAATGCCTTTATTTTTATGTGGTGCTGAGAATCGAACCCGGGTCCCACCGGTGCTAGGCGAGAGCTCTACCCCTGAGTCACAATCCCAGCCCCCACACATATATTTTTATAGTGTGCCATATATGTATATATGAAAATACACATATAWAAATATATATATGTGTATATAGGACACTTGATATTTGGATTCCATCTTTATGAACCCCCAAATATCCATGCCTATGGAAATTTTATATTTTTCTAGCTTTCTCTTGAATCATCTTTTTTGTTGTTGCAAAAAATCACATATTTCCACTATACACAGCCTGACATCAAATACTAGAAATAGCTTCAATTTCCAGAAAGATTTTCAATAAATGGGACATTGTTTACATATTAAACTTCCCAGTCACCTTTTGAAAAGTCAGTTTGTGAAAGTAATGGCATYCATGATGACCAATGACTAATAATAAAGGCCAAATGAGAGGCAAATGCTGGCCCCATGTGTTGGGTAAGGTCTGCTCCCTTACCTAAAACAGGTAGCAGCTTTTTCATCTTATCCTGTTTCTGTTCATGGCCTCTGCAGAATCTCAAATTACTGCAGTGGCAATTATTACTTTGGGGTCGCTGRTCAAACCTGCAAATATTAAGTTGTCAAATGTATACTTGGTATTGGTTCTATGGCTGATAATATTTAAAGCTTGTGTTTTTATCCCATTCCTTTCTCTCTCAAGGATAAGGAACATAACTCATGTCTTTCCAATCCAAATCTTAAACTACTAAGTTTGTGGTAAAGTTCCCTACCKTCACATTTTAACACTGGGCTCAGAATTCCCATTGCAAATTTACACTTGGTTTTCCAATTAAAATAGGCTTTTGTGAGTCTCCTGCTGATAGCCAATGGCTTGATAAAAAGCAACTTCATTTGCATCCTGGTCTGGGGAACCCAGTGCAAGGTTGAGTCTTCTGCAGTTGCTTTGAGCCCAGCTGTGCTGAAATATTAGACTTTAGTAAATTAGGTGAAATTGCAGCTTCCTGACTGATACAATGATGCCCTTTTCTTTTTCTTCAAACCATCTTTGGTATGAGCTGTCTGTACTACTTTTCTGCACTGAGAGAAAATTCAGAATATCTTCCAAATCCAGACAACTCTTCCATTTGCATGATGATTGTGCCACAACTACTTATTTAACAGAGGGCTTAAACTTTCAAATATGTATAATTCTATTACTATATAATTTTAGCCCTATTTGGATACAGCATTACTTTATTATATCAAATTCAGATAAGCAATGAGATCCCTAAAAATGTCAGTCTTATGTAAAAGTAGAAGCTTTTTCTTTCTTGATTAGTATATATTTAACTACAGTGGTGATCTATAAAAGGAAATCTTAGTTTAACCGGAAGGAAAGTGACAATGACACTCAGAGCGACTAAGAGATCTTTATTGTGGTGGTGTCTGATTAACAGGGAAGGAAGAGAAAAGAGAGAGGAAGAGAGAGAGAGAGTGGGGAAAGAGAGAGAGAGAGAGAGAGAGAGAGGTCAAAGTGAGGGACACAGAGAGCAAGAGACGGGGGCCAGCAGAAGAAAGTTTTTATAGCCAAAATCTAATGGGGTCTCTGGGTCTGCAAGCTGCCCTGTGGCGTACAGTGATTGGATCACTCTGTAGTTGCTAAGGGTGTCATCTTCTGCCTCCAGGCAGATGGGGCAGGGGTCAGATATGGATTTCCATTGCACTAGWCGGGTGGAAGTCAAGTGTTCAGCCTTGAGTGGGGTTGAGAGTTCAGACTTGAAGCAAACTAGTGATAAGGAACCAGATGGGTAAGGATGAGGGTCAAGTGTTCAGCCCACCCTGCAGCTAACATTTGTTCAGCCTATTTTGCAACTAACCTTAACCACATTCATTTTCGGTTTTCTTTTTTCCTCTGAAGAATAGCATTAGTTATAAAGTGTTTTTACTCATTGATCAAACAGTTTTAAAATAACTTTATTAGATTTTTTTTTTTTTAATGTGGTGCTAAGGATCAAACCCTGTGCCCTACACATGCTAGGCAAGTGCTCTACCACTGAGCCAAAAACCCAGCCCTCAATGGTCAACATGTATTGGTCAGCTACTATGTGCAAAGTTCTAGTTTGTTTTCACCAAATATTTTTAGAGTGTTTGCAAAATTAACAGAAAGGGACTAGGCAATCTTGTATTTCACTTCTTGACGTGTTATTTTTCTTGTGACAAACTCTCTGGTGTCAGCTTTATTTGGTTCTCTAGTCTACTTGCTCCCCAAAGTTTCTTTACATTGGTCTCTTTTAGGTTAAGACCTTATACTTTTAAGAAACTCCAGTAGAAACCTAAATATTTTTGTTACTTTGTATAAGTAGTTCATTAATGTTAACTCATTAAAGCTTTTTAAAAGTTTTAGCTTTCTCATAATGCTTTTATAAAGCTGCTCACAAGATGGTAAAGTCCAAGGGTTGGAAAAAAATCTCAAATCTATACTAAAGTAGAACAATCTTGTGTGCCTTCATGTAACCACTATGAGGTCTGTGATTAGTTGATGTTTCCCAAACATAGTTAGGTCTAAAGCCTAGGAAGGTTGCTTGGGTGGAGATGGGGGGTTGGGCAGCCCAGGGGCCACATGAGGTTGAGCTAGCTTAGGGCTGAAAGAGCTGAGACCCATTTCTAATTAAATAATTCAAGAACCTGACTAGATCCAATCATCACTGGATCACTGTCCAGCAATAAATGAGAAAGTAACCATTTCAATAATTGACATGGACTAAGCCAAGATGATGTAAAGCGGGAATTTGTGTCTTAGATCCTGCTGCTATAACAAAAAATATCATGAACTAAGTGGCTGACACAACAGAGATTAATTTTTCAAAGTTACAGATCAGGATATTACCATGGCCAGGTTCCAGTGAAAGAACACTTCTTGGTTGGCTGATAGCAGGCCTCTACTGGAGATTGAACCCACAGGCACTTAACCACTGAGCCCCAACCCCAGCCTCAGCTCCAGTCTGTTTTTTTATTTTGAGACAGGTTCACTAAGTTACTCAGGGCCTCATTAGTTTACTGAGGATGGCTTTTAATTTGTGATCCTCTTGCCTCAGCTTCTTGATCGGCTGGGATTACAGGTATGGCTTACCTCACTGTGCAGAGAGGACAGAGAGAGAGAGGATGGGAGTTAGTGTGAGTGGGGTGCGGGGAGACAACAAACCCTTTCCTGCCTCATCTTTTAAGSGTTGTCACCCATTGTGAGAAATCCACCCTTATGACCTCCCAAAGGCCCTATGACCCAACCCATCACATTGAGGATTAAGGTTTCAACACATGAATTTTGGAGGGATACCAGCATTCAACCCATAGCAGCAATAAAATAAAAACTTTGTAGACAAATTTAGCAGTTTATTTGAGCAAAGACTACACATAAACCAGGCATCACTTAGAATCAGAAGTGATTGAGTGAGCTCAAGCTAGCAGTGTGAGCGAGCATCAAGCTTTTACTGGGGAAACAMAGAGGCTTAGTAGAGAAATCACCTGGTTGACTGGCTATATCTAGGTGGCTGCCTTATTTGGATGTGATGTGATGAGTTGGCTGTCTATGAYTGGCTAAAACCTGGTTGCCTGTGACTGGCTGAAACTTAAAGAGGTCTTTATATTCGTAAATCAGGTTCCTTGTTAGCTAAAAGTACAGAGAGAGCCTCAGGCTAATGGGCTCTTTAACAGCAGAAGGCCAACTTTTTCTGGAACTTGTCAGATAGGATATGGGCTTTGAGAGTTATAGGATCTCTATAACCTCTCCTCAGTTCTGCTCTTGTAGTACAAAAGCAACCATAAATCCCACAGTCTTATATGGTCATGGGTACTACAGAGTAGCGTAAAGTAGTGGACACGGAGGTAAGTGTTCTAATAAAACTATTTACAAAAACAGGCAGGGGGTGGATTTAGTCCTCGCCCACCCCTAAAGATTTCCTAGATTCTGGTATCAATGAGTCTGCGTTTAAGAAGGGGAAGTTACTGTTTCCATGCACTGCTGTGTTCTGTCCAACCTCCAAGTCCTGGCAGCCTTTAATGTGTGGGAGGATCCAGTAGAGCGACTCCACAGTTTTCGAAGTTTCTGAAGTGGGCCCTTTTTTCTTTCCTCTTTCGCTCCTCCAAGTCCTTCCTCTCCACCGCTGCGACACAGACCCAGTTGTGGTGTGATTGGGTGGGCTGCGTGGGCTTCAGAGGAGCCATGCGGGCACTCAGAAGAAGGTGAGGGCGCGGAAAAGTTGAAGTCCAATCAGCATGGAGTTGAGCTCCGCGCCCCAACCTTCAGGTGACCCCGCGCGGTGGCGGCAGAGGCAGCGGCGGCTGCAGCGACCAGAGCCCGCAGCAGCTAGGAGCGCCTCCGGGAGGACAGGCGGCGAGCTCGGTGAATCGTCATCTGCCAGCGGAGCGCCGAGCTTCGGCGGGCCGTGGCTGGGTGAGAGAAGAAAGAGCCAGGACACAGCTTCTTTTCTCTCCCCGCCAAGACTGTGCAGGCTGGGCTCAGGGCGCCCAGAGTGTGCGGGCCCTCGCTGCGCTCTGTTGTCGCCCCTCGCCGCCGCCTTTGAACACTGGGGGTGTGCGTGGCTACGGCCGTGGTGGCGGCGGCGGCGGCAGCGGCGGGAGTAGCGAGTCGGGGCCGCCCCGGCTACGCTTCGCCCGGGCATCGGCGGCGGCGGCGGCGCCCATGGCTCAGGGTACGGCCAGGGTGCGCGCTGCTCTCCCTGCTCTTCAGCCTGCTACTACTGCTGCTGCTGCGCCTGCTCTGGTGCCCCACCGACGCKCCCGCCCGCTCCAGGTAATCCCGGGCCCCCGCAGATCGACCTGCGGGTCCCGCGCATCCTTGCCRTGCGCCCCGCCGTGCGCCTCGGGAGCTCTGGGCGCAGATCGGTTTGCCTTGGGCGCACAGACTTTTGGTAGCTAGGGGAACAAGCRGAGGGGTAGCAGCTGCCTGAGGAAGGGGTGGGGCATGGGGGTGACTCTTGGATCGGTGGGCATCGCCATGGATGGTGAGGGACCTGTCAGGGTGGTGGGGGCTCCAGTGTGCGTCGCTGTGGGTGAGAGAGCTGCGGAGCAGGACCTGCCGTCGGGTTCCCTACCAGCCTCCCGGGGCTCTCCATTCTGGTCTTTGCTATSCTTTCCTACCCTTCTTAAGGCATTTCCAACTGTGCTTGGGGAACTGTCCCCGGAGCCGGGGTGCGCAAAGATGCCATGGCTAGGCTTGGAGCGCAACGCACAACCTGCCAGCCAACAGCTCCCCGGGAGGTGTAACAACTTATTTTTTTTCCCTTGGTGGTGCAGGCTCTTGGTGGATGAAAGCGAGGAGGATCCCCAGGGCACTTCCCCAGCGCTGAGAATACTCAGGAGCCCCGCGCCCCCGGTACCTCGCACCACGAACAGGTACAACAGGTACGCCCGCGGCGCGGAGGGACTGGCGGGCGGACTCCTGGGCCGGACCAACTAGCTTGAGCTGTCAGCTTGGGATGACAGGATTGAGTGTGTGTGTGTATGTGTGTGTGTGTGTGTGTGTGTGTGTGTGTGTGTGTGTATTACTCTGAGAAACTCTTGATGCTCACTTAACCTTTGAAAGTCTGCCCCTCTATGTGGGTGTTGAGTGGTGTTTGGAAACCCCCTCCCCCTAGAGAAGTCGCTTCTCCTTTTTGAGGGATTAGTTGTTTTTTTTTTCCTTCTATGGTTTAAAGTGTATCATTATTAAGATTCAGGTTTGGAGGATTTGAATTCTTGGGTGTGCTGTAAACGTTTTTCTCCTTGGTGAATGAAGACTTAAATTTTTTCCTTTATCATTCATATGAATATTTAAACACAGACAATAATGATTTGGGTTTTCTATTTTTTTCTGATCATAAAACTAATACAACTCAGGAAATACAACAGGAAAAATATATAAAAGAAAATAATTCACTAAGTCCCAGCACCCAGAGACTGTATTCATATTGTTCTATTTTCTTCTAGTGGTCTTTGCCATATATACATATTTWAAAAATACAGTTTAGATTGTATTTTGTACTTTGTGTTCCATCTTTCTCCCTAAACATTGTAGACCTTTGTACATTTTAYTAATTTTGTCCTAAAACATTGCTTTTGATTATTGTATAACCCATTATATGAATAGTCCCTAATTTATATRACTGTCTTCATTTTTAGACATTAAGGTTGTTTCCTGGGTGTTTTTTTTTTTTTTGGTGTGGGTGGGGGGGTTGCTTTCAAAATTCTATTAAATCCATCCTTGTTTGTATATCTTTATCTTTGTTTCAAATTAATTCCCCAGAATGAACTGATAGAAGTTGGATTATTAAGTCAAAGAGTATGTGCATTTAAGGTTCTAAATCACATTTCCAGTTGCTTACTAGAAGGATCAAATCCATTTATGCTTTCACTAACAGAATGTACTGCTTTGTTCCTCAGCATTGCTATTATTATTATTGCAATCTTTTACTGTCTCACTTCTTCATATCTCTTGTGARTCCTTTTCCCTCTATTTATCTTCCTGTATCACCTTAATCTTCTGATTGCATGACTGGAGGTTCCCTCCTTTGTGGCTCTGGCTTGGCACTATGAAAGTCCAGAAGTACCTGGAAGAGACTCCAGAGTGAGGAACAGCACTGCCAGACTCAGTCCCCTGTTGAATGTCATATTATACTAGAGGCATTAACAAATTCTGAATTAACAAAAGCTTGTGAGAAAAATATTGGCCTATGGTTTTATTTTATGCAGTTTTGTGKGCGCAGATGGGTAGCTTTCTCAATGAACTGGGGGCATTTCATTTTCTTCCAAGTCTTTTGACTATTATACATCCTGAGGTTTCTGCTTTGGGAAAGTTTGAAAGCATGTACTCATCAAATGATCTGATCCCAGGTCAGCGAGTGTGTGTGTGTGTGTGTGTGTGTGTGTATGGTAGTTTTTGATGAATTTTACAGTTTATTTTGGCACACTTCTTTTCCATTTGGCATACTTCTTGAACTAATATAGGTAATTAATTCATATTTTTTTGAGTGTGGTTAAATTTTTCATTTATACTGTAGTGCTGTGTTAGTAGAAATCTCTTTGCCCTTTGATCTGCTTTATATCCCCTTTATCACTTTTAATTTTGATTACTTATGTATCAGGGGAACAAACTTTAGATCACCATACTACTTGGTTGTATAGAGAAATTGCAATTTCTTATTCTGTAGCTGGTCTGATCTTCCTCATTAATGATACCAATCAGAGGAGCCCCAAATGAATGAACTCTTCTTATGGGCCAGACACTTATCTATACCCTTTATTAACTCTTTTAATCCTTAGAAATAGTAAGAAAAACCTGTATCATTTTATAGGCGAGGAAACTGAAACACTGAGAAATTAAGTAAATTACCCTAAGTTATAGATTTCCAAACTGTGCTACTAGGAATCAAATCCATGGACCCGGAATCCCACACCTAATCTCTCTGCAGTGCAGCATTTTATTGGTGCAGGGCCAGTTGGTGTACGTACGTTTCCTTAAAACTCTTTCTGGTAATATTTACTCTGTTAACAAATTATTCATATCTCAGATTGCTCCCAATATATCCTTTCACTTAAAAATGACATCTAGGTGGGTGTGGTGGCACTCACCCATAATCTCAGTGACTCAGGAAGCTGAGGCAAGAGGATCCAAAATTTTAGGACAGCTTCAGCAATTTAGCRAGTTCCTGTCTCTGAATGAAAAATAAAAAGGACTGGGGATGGAGCTCAGTGGTAGAGCCTATGGTTCAAGATCATGGTACACTTTAACTCCTCTGGTCTCCAGAGTGATGTTACATCTTTTCTATTTGGTAGACAGGCCCCCTTTCAATAGCCAGGTATGAGATCCTGCTGCTTGGAGTTCATTCTTTTTTTGGTCAGGCATTACACCTGTTAAGTACTTCCTAGTTATCTGAGTGCCCACTGATGCTATAAGGAATCTGGTGAAGGGTTTCTTTGGATCCTTTTCTAGATTGTCACTTTTTGACTTTTGCTACAATACTATCTCTATCAGCTCTAGCTAGCTAGTTCCACAGTCTCTTAGCCTTTTAGGGGAACCATCTAACCTAACCATTGTTGGTTCAGGAAACTTAATATCAGGGCCTCCCTCCCTTGTGATCCACCAAGATGGAACCCCACTCAAAGTTGATTTCAAAGYAAGGGACTGCTCAAGAGATGATCTGTTTCCAGAATCTTAATAGGAGGATGCAAAAACCTCCTTTCCCTCTGTTATTGTCCTTGATGTTATCGTGTTATGGCCCCCACCTGCTTCTCTCCAAACCCAAACTCTCTTCTACCTTTTTGTCTTTTCCTCTCACCTGTACTTCATGATAGGAATGTGCCGATTCCCCTCTGCTTCATATTTTGTCATGATTCAAATACAAGCTTTAATGGCAAATTGTGGGGGTCAGGGGAAAGGAACTGGGAAAACTCAGGGAATGATGTCTTCTTCTAGGTCATGTGGTTAGTGTGTTAAAGGAGGGGAATAAGAGAAARCTCTTGGAGATGAAGCAAATTCTATTTTGTCTAGAGTAGAATATTACCTTATACTTTCTCTTTGYATTCTTTCTGTATAAAAAAAGTCTTATTTTTCTCCACCAACCCCCAAAGATGTTTCTAAATGCTTCTAGAAGACTGATGTATTAAGAAAGACAGAAGAGCCCAGCAGCTTCAGAGGCTGAGCCAGGAGGATTGTGAGTTCAAAGCCAGCCTTAGCAAAAGCCCGGTACTAAGCACCTCAGTGAGACCCTGTCTCTAAATAAAATACAAAACAGGGCTGGGGACATGGCTAAGTGGTCGAGCGCCCCTGAGTTCAGGCTCTGTACCCCTTCTTCCCTCAAAAAAAAAATGACAAAAGAGAAAATATATTAATGATTTAAAAAATATTATCTCATTACAGTGGATTTTTTCTCTTCCAGATAAATTGCCAAAAATCTGTCATTGTCAAACAAGGAGCTTTTGGATTTAGATCTTAACTCTTGTATCTCCATATTTCGTTTATGTTACGTTTTTATTTTAAAATATCATTTTTCCCCAGTGTAATGTCTTGTAGAGCCTGTTTGACTTATTTATGTAATTTCCTCCTTTTTGTAAAAGGATATTTACAAAATCCTTTTACAATTTTACAAAAGGATTTGTAAAAGGATATTTAATACTATGAATTTTCCTTTGAATAAAGCTTTGGATATTTATTTATTTTTAGGTACTAGGGATTGAACCCAGTGGCGCTTTACACTGAGCTCCGTTTCTATCCCTTTTTACTTTTTATTTTGATAAGGGGTCTCACTAACTTGCTTAGGATCCTGCTAAGTTGCTGAGGCTGGCCTTGAACTTTTAATCCTCTTACCTCATCCTCTCAAGCTGCTGGGATTACAGGCATGTGCCACCATGCCCAGTTCCATTTATTCATTCATTTATTTATTTGTACTAGGAGTTGAACTCGGGGTCTCCCGCATTCTAGGCAAGCAGCCCTAGACTAATTTCTTAAGTTTGAACACATGGTTTCCATATTTAAAAAAAAAAAAAAATATATATATATATATATATTCCATGTTATTTGATTACATTTAAATTTTTTATTTTATCTCCATTATTATTTTGAGGATGATTTAAAAATTTCTTTATAGTGGATTTTTTCTTAAGAATTAATCGAATAGTTTTTAAAAATAATATTAGTTTGATTTTTTATTATGAAAGAAATCCAATAAAATGCTGCTATGATATTATAAGTGAGTTCCCAAATATCCAATTATTAGAAATAAGGAGCTGAATTATTGTGAGACTAATGAAATGGTTAGCACAAGCCTGTGTAACTAGCTAACCTGGAGTTGAAGGGTCTCACTGTGGGATCTATCCAGGTCCTGGCCATGGTTCCGTACCTTTTCATGGCAGTTGTTCATTCTGACTTAAACATCACGGATGAGGATTTAAGATCCTGTAGCTGKCTAGAACTTTCTGGACAGCAATAGCTATTCCTTGACGTGTTGGTTAGTTGATGCCTGTTTTGACTTATCTGGGATGTTTGGACAATTACCCCCACTCCCCAATACCACATATGTTTTCCCAAAGAGGTTTGCCTGCTGTTTCCCTTAGTAACCCTGCCCTCCCTGCCAGTAATCCTTCTTTCCTGAAGAGGAACTTGGACTTGTCCCTGTTTGAGAACTGGGGCGAGGCAGAGAGCAGACAGCAACTGTGTTATGTTCCAAGTCCCATTATTGTAAGGTGTGTCATTGTAGAGATTTCATTGTAAGTTTTTAGATGAACACAGAGAAAAGGAAGATCRCCTGTCATTTCAATATCTTAAAAAATGGCATTTTATATTTTGTTATATTTTATAAGCATTAATCTAATAATTGTGCTATGAATATTTTCTTTTGTCTTCATACATGTACTTTGAA